GAAGAACAGTTGAGAGAGAGAGGAACAGCGCAGGATGGCGTACATGGGATGAGGCAAGAGCTGCTGCAGCCAACAGAGAAAATTGGAGGCATTCTGTAGAGGCCTTATGTGCCACGAGGCACAAAGAAGCTAAGTGAAGAAGTGAAGTGAAGGGTAGTTTAAAAAAATATGGTGTTTAAATGGGGGACACTCAAAATATTACCTTACCTTCTACAGCAGCTTAAATGTCTTGCCAGAATGTCTAAAATAGCATCCACTGATGAGGCTCTAAAGATTTTAAGTTTCCCGGGGAAATATACCACCGGACCTCCTACTTTGTTACGTACGTACTCTGCAGCGGGAACTAAGTCCTTACTAAGCATTTGGCTGCTAAATATAGCTCAGCCTCCACAAATAACTTCCTCTTGACAAAACAGGCGATGCCAGTTTTCTTCTCATGCTTTTGTCTATTTTTACTGGAATATAGGTATTGTAATGACAGCATCCTTACTAGTGCAAAACGACTGCCAAAATAGCGTTCCTGAGCTTCTGAAAATTTAAAATTTTCTGCTGGAGCATGCCCTCGAACCCTCCTATTATATTAGACACCTTGCAGCAGATGCTAAACCCCTATTAAGAATTTGATTGCTAAATATAGCTTAACCTCCACGAGTGACCTATCTTAAAAAAAGCTCAGTTCTTTATTTTATTTTATTTTATTTTATTTCATTTCATTTCATTTTTTTGTCAATTCAAGCTACTTCACAATAAAACACTATTCAGTAGACTACTTAATTAGTCCGTGGTTTTCTATTTAGCAGTAATTTTTAGAGGTTCAGGTGTTCCACGGGTTAACAAAAATCACATAGGGGGCAAGCTGACAAACTGATTGTAAATAAATGATTCATTCTATACTGCCAGATAATATACGAATCAATAATTACCAACGAGAAGGGTGATCACTAGCGTATTAGCTCCAAACACCAGTATGTTGAACGTGATGCCGTCCACGCATGGGTCAATGGAGGATGATGACATACCCTCTTCGGAAAAATATAACGCCCGGGCGGAGTATGGGGTTGGGCGCCTGGATGTTGCTTATACAAGGTAGACGTGTTAATAAACCGCTGTACATGTTTACCTTGCTTGCTTGC